TTAAGTTTTCATGAACAAATGAGGGATTGCATTTATTCCCTCAGTTGGAAAGCAGTTAGTATCCAGATAGCCAACTTTTCTGGACAGAAGCTGAATGAAAGTGCATCCATTGGGCAGCCTAAGATAGTAGCGTTGGGGCAGCACAGGGCAGCAGAAGGTGATGAATGTTATCAGTTCTGTGCCATTGCTGAAAGAAGTTAGGCTGGGCAAATAAAATCCATAGAGCTCTCACCCTGTGGGAGCTGTGAACCACAGGAAGACTTCTGGCTGCCTTTTGCACAGACCCATTCATCTGCTGGTGCCAAACAGAATTTTAAATGTTGTATTTCTCAATTCTCTTCCATACCTCATTTAGAAAAGCATAAAATGAAGTATAGATCAATTAACTGACTTGCTCTAAAGCAAAATGAAAAAGAAAGGATTGGATTTTATCTTTAGTCAAAGGTGGGTTTATAACTAATAAGAGGTTCTTCATTGCAATACACTTTTGTTTGAAAAGTATTTAAATAAAAATACTTCCAGTTATTGGATGTTCCTTTATTTCAAGTCAGCCAAATAGAAGTATATGATGTTATCCTACCTATATCTGCAAAACCTGTTAAAAGTTTTCACCAGTGAGCTCGGTTGGCTGTTTCATTTTATACCCTGGAGGTTTCACTTCAAAATTTATGTCTGGCTTATCATCATTACTTAGTTTGGGATTAATTTTAAATTAGAATATATAATGCTGCTCTTCAGTAATGACAATCCTTTCAGTGCATAGCTAGTTATACCACCTTTTTGCTAAGACTATTTCAGAATCAAAGGGAACTGGAAACTCTGAATAATCATTGTTATTTAAACTGTTCTGTAGGAACTGCAAAGTATTTTTCACAGCCAGCTCACATATTAATTCTGTAATATTCCTTCTATTCCAAACCTCTAAGTAAATGAATTACTGTCCTGGCTTTCATAGTGCCTTTAGCTAGATGTGTCACATTGCCAAATGGCTAAATATACAGCTTCGGAAGTCACAATCTGTGTTCATTATCTGTCTACTGCCTGCATTGTTTGTTATATTTAGAAATAGCAAGAACAAGTTTCCACCTTCATTTTTAATTCTTATTTTCTCACATTGGACTATTTTGCTGGGGGATGAGGGTAGAGAGAGGTCAAAGCAGATAATCATATTCTCCAGATTTCTCAAATTATTAGTAAAATAAACATTTGGAACAAATGGACGGTGTACCTTGGGATGAATAGATTAAACCAGAGCATTTTCATTATGTCTCTGGCAATCACCCCTTTTATCTCATCGTGTGATGAACATCTGTATTTTTTGGCAGTGTGTTCAGATATAAATGTGGGGTGTATCTGAACAAACTCCCAATTATAGTTCTGCTCAGATGAGATTTGAAAATCATGTTTTCTACTTTGTGGCTGATATTTACTGTAGTGGTAGCAACTGTGTGGAAAAGAATCTAATGCACTTAATATTCAGTTCTGGATTCATATATCAATTATTTAGCTAAACCTTCTGTTGGTAGATTTTTTGTAAAACATCTATCAAATGTTTATAAAAAGGGAAAGAGATTCATAATGACACAGCAGCTAAAGCTGTGCTAAAAAGAAAAAAAATGAATAAACATATGTTACCAGCAGTGTTTCTCATATTTGATGAGAAATACCATATTCTATTTTTCTGCAATTGTCTTTCCCCGTACAAATAAAGGCCTTGGTCCAATAAACATTTATAAGTGTGAGTTTAATTCACACTGTTTGCTCTATTTCTTTCTTTAAGACCCTATCGTATTTACTTGAGGAACCTTAGAGGAGGTAGGAAACTGATCTTTAAGCATTTACTGAACTTTTGGCTCATCGGAAGTCCATAGAGTTCCCACGTCTACAGCACAGCACGTGCAACAGGATAACTGAACAAGAGCCAAAAGTATTTTTAAAAGCCAATTTTTTTATTTTTATTTATTTTTTTTTTTTAAGGAAAGAAAGAAAGAGAAAAGTTGTGTTTTATTTTTTCCTTGCATTGAGTGAATCATTTACTGTTGGTCTGTGGCTATGACTGCAGTTCTGGCACCTTTCCCACAGCTGTTACAGCCCCTATTCCACTTGGGAGAGTTTTCAGGAAATTGTGTTGTCATGGATCCTTCTGCTCTGCTCTAATCTACTCCATGCCCCACATCCTCTGTGCTACAGAGTATAAAGTCCCCAGTGGGCACAAGCTGCACGAAGCACAGAGGGCTATAACTTCTGTGCAGCATCCCCCAGCACTTCCTTAATTACTCACTGGATCATCTTAAATAAGGTTTAAAAAAAGGTGGAAGCAAATCCAACACTTGAGAAGAAGGTAGGGACTACTGTGCTCTTCTAAATCAGTCTTTCAGTTCTTACTCATAATCCAGACTGTCTAGACTTACCAAGTTAGAAACAGGCATGTTTTCCATCAAGGCTGAGCAATTTAATTCAGACAGGGCTTTTTTTTTTTTTTTTTTCTCCCCAATTGTTTATTTTACTAAACTAGAGCTGTTTTGTGGATGGCAGGCACCCATCAGAGAGAGACGGCTAAAGTTAGCAACAGAGAGACGTGCAGATGAGTAGTGCCGTTACCAGAATCATGGCAGCAGCTGCTTCCGTCAGACGTGTGCTGGCTGGGTTTGTGTGGTTCAGGTTCCACCTATGGAAAGGAGAAGGGAACAGGCAGGAAAAGACAATTAACTCCAGAGGCACAGTTTTCACTGGGCTACTTCAAGTCAGAGGCAGCATGAATGGCCTTGTTCTTCGTGCAGAATCAAGAAATCATCTTTAGTCATAGGTGGGAATTTGAAAGAGTTTCTGGCAGTGGCCATAAAGGGTCATTTTGCTGGCCTAAGGGAACTGAACAGTGTGAATTGTCTTTTAACAAAACAGACAAAACAATGAGCATTCAGTGTGTTTTGCTTAGTTTCTATCAGAGAGTTTTTGGAAATCTATCCAAACAGGATAAGATCTGAAAAGATATCGAGTAGATGCAACAACAGATAGCATTGTAGCTACTAACCTGCTTGCAGCAACATTTAATGCTTTTGAACTGGATATTCATTGCTTGTAGCTGGTGGATGTGTTTTGGATGTGAATATGTGTTTGCCAGCAATCCTGAGGCGTAGGGACTGGGACCCTGGAACTGCCCTTTGGCGTTCTAAGGGGCCAAGTGGTGCTCTGGTACAGGAGTGCTGAGTACTATGATGACTTTTCCTGTGTCCCACCTTGAAGATTTTCCGTGTGGAAAGCAATTCTATTTACTGGTGTTTGCAAATTGTCTCACAGCTGTGCTGAACAAAGGATTAAATATGAAGAAAAATACAAAGTTTTTTTTTTCTTAGCCAATACCAATGGGGCTATTAGATCTGAAGACAAGCACAGAGGAATAAACAAAACCCTGCTTAATGCTGTCTGAACTTCATGTCTGTTCTCTAGGAGCTTTCCAGTAAGAAGAAGCTGTTAGGATACTTGCATAATTTTGTGGCAGTGAGGCAGACCTCACAAGCAGGGTGTTGGCCTAAACCCTCTATAGATGAAAAGGGCCCTGATGTGGTGCTGTATTCTTCCATCCCTTCACTCAGTTCTATTCTGATTTAAATTTTATCCTGGTAAAAAGTCAGAAAAAAGAAACTACTCACCTTGTCCTACTCAACTTTTACCTACTCAACTGTTACCATTCAATGTTGCCAGTGTAATGTAGCAAGATCTATCTTCTGTCCAGACACTAAGAAAGGGTGCTAGGTGGTGGGTGTTTAGTCACTGGAAACAATGTGTGATAAAGCCTTTTCTCCTGCCTAACAGGACACGGTTCATCTCTGCATAATTTTTTATATACTGAACCTGGAATTCATATAAACAAGTCATTTTGTAGACACACTTTATAGTTTCCTCTGTGTGTTTATATGCATATACTTCAGTTTTACCTTTTATTCAATTTTACTGGACTAGACATGATAGTAATCCAAATATTTTGGCATGAAAATAGGTTTGAAAAATCTCTAGTAGTCGCGAAGTTCAAAGGTTTCTACATGTGGTTTTTTTTCTGTGTGTCAGTTTTCCATTCAAAATTTGAAGGTTTGTTGTTTTTTTTTTTCGACCCAAATAATTTAAGTGTATACTTAAGCAAACCAGTAGATTTACGTGTACAGAAAGATCAGTTTAATTTTTTTCTTTCAACGAGAGAAAGAGAGAAGACGCTATGCAGCAGATGTGTAACAGATGCTACTCCTTGCCTGTGCTGCACTACTGGACAGTGGCCAGGTGCAGTGATGACAATAATAGCTATTACCATGATAGAGCAGAATACAACAGATATATCAGCAATGTGTTAGCTTCCCCACCCAGCACCTTGTCCACCCAAATGAGAAGGAGGAGAAAGTTCTTAACTGCATAAAATATCTGCATCAAAATATAGAGCCTGTCAATAGTGTTTGGGGTCATCTACATGTTAAAACGCAGAAATAGAGTTCATCTCTTGACTTGGTGTGTTGAGTTTTGCCATTGGACCTCACAGTAGTTCTTTTGGAAAATTAATCTGAGAAAGCAGATAGTTCTCTAACAGTAGAGAAGATCCATCCTGTCTGAAAAACGTATTTTCATTTTAGAAGGTAGGAGATCAATACCTAAAAATGTATGGAAAAAAAAGCTTTTCACATTAGTTATCCTTCTGCAATTTACCCCCAGTTGGAAAGCGTAGGAAGCGAGCAGTTTCTGTAACTGAGTTATGCACAATATAAATATTTCTTGTGCTTATTATGAATTCACTGTACTTTACTAATCGCAACACAAGTCTCACCTGCAACGCAAAAATGCTGTATTCAAAAAAAAAGAGCCATTGTCCCTTAAATATGAATCACTTCTGTGTAGAAAGTGTGATGCTTTTGCGCATGGTCGTATTTTAAAATGTAAATCACTGCAAAAAATATAGAACACATTCAGCATGAACCTTCTAAAATAAATGAACCTTAATTTCTTTTGTGTTTTTAAAGGTTAAGTGCTGCAAATACTGGCCAGATGACACAGAGATATATAAAGACATTAAAGTTACCCTAATAGAAACAGAGCTCCTCGCTGAATATGTGATTCGAACATTTGCAGTAGAAAAGGTAAGTATCGACGTTCACTTTTCTTTAGTACGGTGGTAGCTGCTTAAATAACAACACATTCAGCAAGGGAAAGTTAAATTTGTGTCCTGTTGTGGAGGTTTTTGTAGCAATTTTTTGAGTAAACGGCCAGCGCCCTCTTATGGTACGTTGTGTTTTTCTTCAGAGACAGCTACTCTGCCCTTTTCCATCAGCCCTAGCCACTGCCTGAGTTAGAAAAGTGATGTTTCCTTGCCCACGAGAAATCGAAGCCTCCCTCCCACCAATCAGTTGAAAAACACATTCGTGCTGTTTTCCCATCTTAAGCTCACTGCAATCATTTTCTGTCTGTACCAGAGGCTGCAGGCACCATTATTCAGAAGCCCATGGCTGTGAATCTGTTGGACCAGTGTGTTCCTGGTCGGCAGCGAGACATTTTTGAAACAAACTAATCTGTCTTTTCAAAGCATTTTCATTTTTAGTGCAGAATCCATCTTATGTAGAGTTCCAATCAGTGCACTGCATTGCTGTTTATCAAAACAGTGCTATGATTTGGTGCTCACTAGATCTTACAGCTCTCTCAAACAGCTTATAACATATGGATAACATGCAGTTTGTAAATAGAGTACCTAGTGAAAGTGAAAACAAGCAGGGTTATTTAATGTGGAAGTGTTTGCCATTTAGTGTCAATTCACATTTTTATTCACGATTTTCTTTAAAGGACTGAAGTGTTTTTATTCTATCCATTAAAACGTATTTGAGTTGCAGAACAAAGAGGAAGGGATCCCTTTAGAAGACTTGATATTCCTAATGGCATATTGAAGTAATGTTGCTTCAGTATCTACATGAGTAATCTTTAAACTAATTGTGTTAGAAAACAGCCTTTGATTTAGTTGCAGTACCTGGGATATACTGCTGCTCTCTAACAATGAAATAGTATTCAGTTGGTGCTGAAGAACTTAATTTTTTGCATCAAAGAATCCTGCAGCCAGGTAGATGAAACTACCGAAAAGATGGCCCATCAGGGTCTCTGTACATACATCCTCAGTAACAAAGGAATTTGTTTTTCTCCTGTTTTATTCTTCAATCTAATACTTAAATATGCATCAATACAGCAACCTGAGGGTAATGATTATAGAATTATGCAGTTTGAATGAGCTGAAATATTGTATCATGTTTACTATTGTACATATAGTGCATTGAATTTGCTCAAGTCTGTTGTTTCCTTGCATTTAGATATTTTTAATAAACAGATGAGAAAGGGTGGCTGTACTTTGAAGTAGATGAGGTACCCATTGCTTTCTATTCTGCAAATTTTAAGCCATGCTTTGATGTTAGCTTTTCACTTCTTAACTGGGACTGGAAAAAAAAAGACCTAGAGGATTTTACAGTTGATATAACCAAACTGTCTTGAATAAATGCATTAATACAGATAGAGCTAAAAGACGCTAAACATTTTATTTCTTTAAAAAAAAAAAAAAATCTCCATCTGAAAAGGTTTCATTTAGACACTGCTTTTTAATAGTTGGTAGTTTTTTTGTAAGCCTCTGAAAGCAGTGTCAGTGTAGTTTGAAGAGAGTGCATTTGGTTTTACCCTGTTTTCCATACGCTTTAACTCTTTTTAACTACAGGAGTAGGGTAGTGCAATGCAGCTTACTCAGGAATGTTGTGAAATCATCATTCTTGGAGGTCTGCAGGGCTCAGCTAGACTAAGCCACTGTTCTAGTGTTGGCCAAAGGCCTATTCTGGCCAAGAGGCTGGAGACCTCCAAAGGTCCCCTCTTACCATCTTTCCTATTTTTGGATCAACATTCTCATACCTTCTTCTAAAATAAAATCTAGAATTTGCTTAATTTGGAGATAAATTGATTGTTTTTTTTTTTAATAGCTATTCAGTAATTATGGAGAAGTGGGGGGATAATACAGGGAAAATTGAATGAGAATTTACACCGTTTCTGGAGAACACTTTGCAGTATTGTACACACAAGCAGTTCCTGGAATTACAGCACAACAGTTAACGCACATGAATTACACAAATAGTAACATACAGAAACACCATAAGTATTTGTGGGATTAAGATCTACACTTTTTAACATCTTAAGGTTTGTTAGCCATATACACTACTTTCTGTTTATTTCAGCTGAAAGAGTGAAAAATGTGATCTTTCCAATCTGAGCATATGCTTTTATGATTCATGCAGTTGTGCTGCTATTTTGAGTTTTGAAACCAGCAGGGAAGCTACAGACATGAAAATCATTCTTTTGTGTAGGTATAATAAGCAAACTCATTATAAAAGTAACCCAGATGCAAAATCTTTTCTAAGTAGTTGAGTGTTACCAACAACAGCAGACAGAAATACAGTCAGTATGACAGACAGCATTCTCAAAACCAATGCAGAAGATACACGGTACATATTCTTATCTGTGCAACACATCATTTTGGAGAGTCATTTTGTATTTTGTAAATCACTTGGAAATCAAGACTGTCTACATCATGAAGAATGTGTGTAGGGTATTCTTTTCGGTCCCTGATTTCTGTAGTGATGGCACTGCTTTTCGGAATGGAAACTTTGTTTCTTGAGAAATTGTGGGCAGTTGTTATGGGCAATAAAAGCGTTTGGGACATGGATAGTCTACCTACACACAGCTATTTACAGATTTGGAGGCCATGCCTATATTAGCAAAGAAAAATGTGTTAACTAACGTATACTAAAGTCCTCAGAATAAGAAGACCAAATTCTATTTGAGTGCATTTTTTCGACATCCTTAAAATACAAATTACTTTGCTCCTGAGCTTCAGTATGTTGCAAAATTTTTTGAATATAAGGCCAATCCTGTTGCAAGGATGTGATCTCTTCAGTGTACACCAGTGCTGCACACTCTCTTCATCTTCTTCCTTGCCAGCTTTTCTGTGCCACTGTTTCTATGAGCCATCCAGTTGCACTGGCATGGCCAAGATTTCTCAACCATTAACAATCTCTGACTCTTCTAGCTTGCATGCTAGCAATAAATTAGGAAGTTTATACTACTTTATTACACAAAGAAAATTACACCTTTTATATGCAAACAGGAACAAGACAGGAAATACATCTTTAAGAAGAAAAAGTGTAAACCACTGGTTATTAATATCATTGACATTTAGTCCAGCCTGGAGATTATATGTCATAATTTTGCTGTTTGCTTATGAAATATGTATGATGGCCTCTGGTGTGCAGATTTCTAATGAGAATAAAATACTGGCAGCTACATTTTTAGAGGGGGAAGAGGAAATACAAGCACTAAGAAAATCATACTTCGCATACACACCTTTAATATCCAGACTGCTCCAAAAATTCACATGGGAAATTATTTATACGGTTGGCTCATTCATACCTGTCTCACCATATCCATGTCCTTGCAGACTGTGGTAAATCACTCAAAGGGTAGGCATGCAGAGGTCTACACATACAGCCCCTACAACAGGAGGTGCAAAAAGGCTTTCATTACTATTCAGCTGTTTCTTTCAGACCAATGAAGGAGACAAATGATAAGGAAAATTATGCTGAAATTCTAGTCCCTGGAAGTCAGCAGCAAATCTCCTGTGGAAAGTAGTCGGGGAACAAATTCATCAGTGCTAAATGTTCGTGGCCTTGCCATTGACCTGTTTGTTGATCATGATCTGCTTCTTAGGGTTACAATCATCAAAGCAACCTAGTGCTTATGTATGGAGATGAGTCTCTATCTTGTTGCTAGACATTTCTAAAACAACTGAGTGCTAAATCACTGTATTTTCTTGTAAGGCTTTGAAATCGGTTGATACATGATCTGTGAACTTGCTCTCCAGCTATCAGAAAGGTCTCCAGCAGTCTTGTCCAGATATGATTGTTGGCAGGGGGTGGATGTTTCTCAGCAGAGCTCAAGCTTTTAAGAGCTACATTCTTATGATGTTTCTTGTCCAATTTCTGTCATATTCCACCTTGTTTTTCATTTTCAACCCTGGCCTTTTGAACAGAGAGGTGCTCATGAGATTCGAGAAATTCGTCAGTTTCATTTCACTGGTTGGCCAGACCACGGCGTGCCGTACCATGCGACAGGCCTGCTGGGATTTGTACGGCAGGTCAAGTCCAAGAGCCCGCCAAACGCTGGACCTCTGGTGGTTCACTGCAGGTAGGCAGAACATAAATCCCTCTGTTGCGTGGTCCACTGAACTCAGAACCTACTTCTGCTTCTCATATCCCATGTAATCCCCAAAAGTTGGTGAAGCCACTCTGATCACGATAACTTTTTACCTGACATACAAAATATTGGCTAAACTGATTCTGGAGCTTTACATTTTCCAGTGAACTGATGGATATTAACTGTGCTCTAATTTTACTTCAGTGCTGGCGCTGGCAGAACCGGGTGCTTCATCGTTATTGACATCATGCTAGATATGGCAGAAAGAGAAGGTGTTGTAGACATATACAATTGTGTGCGAGAGCTTCGATCTCGGAGAGTTAACATGGTGCAGACAGAGGTATTGTTAATCTTCTGGTTTACTGCCTTATGCTTTGCAATGAAAAGTATTATTCTGGCCCATAAAACTAGAGCCCTTTGCTATAAGCCCTATCCAGGAGGTAGTTTATTCAGTGACATGCAGGAAAATAATCCACACAGAAGCTTGTAGAGCCATTGCCCAAACAAGGCCACTGTTATGCTGCAATGGTTTGATTAAAAAGAAACCTCTTGAGTGTTTCCTCTTTAGAGAGCATTCATTCTGCAGTGCATCTTGTTGAAGCTTACTTACGCTATAACTTCAACAGAACTGTGCAAAGGAATGAGAAAAACAGGAACAGTCATAGTTTTATGACATACTGTATTTCTTTTTGTAATTGTAACTAGTTTCAGTCAATCCTTCTATATTCTTTTCTAAATGAATGGCATGAAGTTTTGTGAACTGCAGTTGTTCCATCTATTCTTTCTTCAGTGTGTGTAAAGCTCGTGAGAACTAATAGGCTAACCATATTAGTCGTTATTATTTATTTACCAAGTTACTAATAGTATGTACTCTCTGTCAGTAATTATTTTTATTGCTTTACCAGGAACAGTATGTATTTATCCATGATGCTATCCTGGAAGCCTGTCTTTGTGGAGACACTTCTATTCCAGCTTCTCAAGTTAGGTCTGCTTACTATGAAATGAATAAATTGGATCCTCAAACTAACTCCAGCCAGATCAAAGAGGAATTTAGGGTAAGTTGTGGTTAGCCATACCTAGAAGCTATACAATTCAGCTATACAAAGGCTTCTAATTAAGTGCTGGCTTATAACCATGTGAGTTTGGGGCCAGCCCTGGGGAATGAAAGACTGAAAAAAAAGAGTATAACCTGTCACTAATTGCTATTGAGTTATACTAAATCAACAGAGAAAACAATGGGGTAGTAGTAAAATCTTCTTTGCACTCCAAGGATGTATGTCAATTCCCTGTGCCGTCCTTGCTCCAGAAAACTGGTTAGTCTGCATTCGTCTTTGAGGTTGTTTTTCAGATACGTTTGCATCCAGGATTCTTGCTTCCAAACCCCGCTGACTGTGATTTGTTTTCATCTGTCTTCATTTTGACTCCTGCTGAAACTGATTGGTGACTTGATCTATTCTTAAATATTTTGGGATGCTTTCACTGCTGTGTTAATTTCTCTGTTGTGTTGTTTACTCTTTTTGAACAGACGTTAAATATGGTGACTCCGACGCTGCGTGTGGAAGACTGCAGTATAGCACTTTTACCACGAAATCATGAAAAGAATCGCTGTATGGATGTCCTGCCTCCAGACAGATGCCTGCCTTTCCTCATAACGATAGATGGGGAGAGCAGCAACTACATTAATGCTGCACTGATGGATGTAAGTTGTCTCCTCCACATCGTTAATAATAAAAAGGGAATAAGGAGCTCTCCAGACTGAGCAGTGCCAGAAAGTGGAGTCAGCACAAGGCTGAAATCTTTCTAGCTTGTTTTCCAAAAACATGGCACAAAATCTTTAAGCTCCCAAGTACATTTAGGATCACACATATGTTATGTCAAAGCCAAGGTTCCAAAGCCATACTTAGAGAGCAAGTCAGGGAGTTTTGATAAATTAAATGCATCTGGATTTCTCCCTAGTGCTTGAATTTTTAACCATCTGGCCTAGGAAAAAATTAGTTATGTATTAAGACACTAAGACAGTTAAATGGGATAATACAGTTTGCAGCAATATTTCAGTTCCCTTTGTTTCTAATTGAAGAAGTAATTAACAAAAAAAAAGAATTGTCTGTCAGCACAGGATAATACACAAGCCATTACTTCAGTCTTTCTGTTTATTTCTGTATGAATGAATGGTTCCTCTTCATGCGTGTGTGCATTTTTTTCCTAATGCATCTTGAGTAATTCTAATCCTGCTAATAGAGTATCAGTAAAAAGACACTTAAACCTCCTTCAGAGTGTAGATATTTATAGCCCATCTTTGACAATTTAGAGCTATAGTAATTACGGTTGTCACACACACATAAACAACATGAAAGCAGAGGTTAGAAAAGAATGAATACATTGTAAATGGCCTTTTTGAAAAGTGAAGCTAGAGCAACAACAGTTTATAGCAGTTGTTGCATCTTTTTTCCTTCGAAGTTCTCAGTGTTTTCCTAAAATGAGCCTAAGTTCAAAACTCTCCTGTGAAAATAAAAGCGTATTGTCTTTTTATTGATCTATGTAGAGGAACTGAGGGCAACAGTTTAAGTGACTTCTCTTGGTTCTCACTGCAAGTAAGTCTGTTGTATGTACTCATATTAGAATAGCGCTTCCTTGATCTGCAATTTACGGTCTTGCCATTACGTGGTCTTAGTGGAGCGTTCAGTGTGGTTTTGTTCTGCAAATTAAGTACTGCCTCAGTATTTGCTTTGAAAACACTCGATTCTTGAAACACTTTGAAAATGCTTCATTCTTGAAACAACAAGCAGATTCCAAAAGCATATCTGGGCCAAAGGCTCCAAGGTTCACTTTCCATCCAAAACACATGCAGTATCCCTTCACTAAAGGACAAGAGCAGGCATTTGTTCTTCTCTCTGAACTTTCAGTCTCACAGGCAAGGTGCTGAATCTCTGTGTGAAAACTGCACCTCTGGCTGAGATGCAGTTGGATCACCTCATGTATGAACATTTAAATAAGCTCACTTCAAGAAAAAGGGCCAGCCAGCACAGTTTTCATTATTCAATATCTGGTCACTGAAGGCATGTAGAGGCCTTCCTGCCCTCCTTTGCAGGCAAGGACAGCCCCTGCCAACATTTGCCCCAGGATGGCCACGCTGGCCTGTAACACTCAGGAGGACCAACATGAAAATGCAAGTACAAGATTCACAATGCAACTGTTTCACAAACAGCATCACTAGCAATTCGCTCTGACTGAAAAAAAAAAAGAAAAAAAAGTCGAAATGTATCCCCTAGATATCTTCCTTTCTGTCAGATAGACCAGAATTTGAACACTGTTTCTGAAAAAATAAGTAGATGCTTCCTTCCATAGGAATAATTCAAATCAACAGCTCAGTGCAGGTGGCCAAGATTAATCTGTCCATTAGCAGCTCAAAACAAAATTGTTGCTCAAAATTTTGTAGGAGTTGCATTGGAGGGAAAACCTCAGATGATTTTATCCTGTGCCTGAGGCATGAAATAAGTTTCAGAAATATAACATCATCAGAAGTTATATTCAGTTTATTAATTTTCAAGCATATAAAATCTCAGAAAAGAGCTGAAAATAGCATATAAACGATACAGAAAATAGAAATAATGTTTTCAGTCCTGAAGTTTGAGACTATTACTGGCATTCTACTAAGTGAGTTTTTTTCTCTTATCATTCTTCTCTAACCATCTCTTCTTATTTCTTTGCAGAGCTACAAGCAACCATCAGCCTTTATAGTTACGCAGCATCCCTTGCCAAATACTGTCAAAGATTTCTGGAGGCTGGTCCTAGATTATCACTGCACTTCAATAGTTATGCTGAATGACGTGGATCCAGCCCAAGTAAGTTCAAACGCTTCTATTTGACAGAGAAATGCCAGTGCCTCAGCATCGCAGCACGTGTGTGTTTCAGAACAGAACAGCTTTAGGATGTAATTAGTTGTATAAAACAACATTAAATACTAACACATTAAAAAATTGATTTGTAGCTTGCGGATACGCATAGGGAAGGAGGAATAAATCAGAGCATCAGCAGCTTCTCCACCAAAATGTTAATGCCCACATACATAAGTGTATGCAACCATAATTTATTCTGATGGAAAAGCATACTCTGAGAAGAGCTGTTAAAAACCAAAACCTTTTGGTTGTAGATTTTTGACTCAAGTCTGTAGCATGCTCATGGCCGAAAGTCACAAGCAGAAGCCAACAGCTCCTCACTGACTTGCATGGGACAGGTCAGTGACCTTGGTCTGCCCGCAGGGATGGGTGTTCCCAGCCTGAAAATCTGTGTTGTCTTTGGCACAAGATTGCATTGCTAGGAGATAAGAACTGAACAATATCAGACACTAAGCATGGACAAAGGAACACACAGGGGAATGTAATTACCTTACAACAGAGTTGTGCATGCTGTACATGTTCTTTAGAAAAGTGGAAAACCATACATACTGACTTGGCAATTTAATCACTAGCATTAATCACTGAGCATCCCAGAGCCTGACCTGCAATTGTGCAATTCCAGGTTTTTGTACAGGGATCATTTCCTTGTTTTCAACACAGTGCTTCAACTCTCTGCTGGAATAAAGTGGTGGTAATCTAGATCCTTAATATTTGCTAATTATTGGAAAAGACAACATCAATTTTTATTTTTTTACAGCAGATTGCTTGTCATTTTTGTTCTTTGTATGATCAAGAATCTTTTAGGTCTCTTGAATATTTTTCGTACCTTAAAAAATGTTTCCTTTATTTCATTTTAACGTGAAGAATTTGTTTTAAAAACATACTAATCATCAGTTTGGTCTTTCAAGTGTAGTGTGTAGGAATTCCACACACTGTTTTAAAGACTTCACTGTCTACAGGGAGAAAAATAGAAATGAAAGACAAAACTTTTATTCATGAGTCTAAGATTAGTTTCTGAGTGAATAAGGAAGGACTCAAGGGAGTCAGACTGCAAGGGACTGGCGAACAGAGTTCTTTTAATTTGTGGGCTGTGTTTTGAATTTACAATAGTGCACAGCTATTTCAAGCATTTATTAACCTCACAGGCTTTTAAAAGCTATTGGGATATGCAGTTAATACACCTGCCTCTGCAGCATGTTGAACCTTTTCTCTCTAATGTGAGTAAAAATCTTTTCATTAGGAATAAATCTGAAAACCCTCAGAGCAAACAGGAGTGGAGAGAGGGCAGAGTTTATTAAAAACACACATTACATTCAGATCTATTAATAATTACCATTATCATTATTATTTATGTATACATGAAGTGTTTACATTTCTGTTTAGATATTACAATTCATCTGGATGGTTGCACTCTGTTGGGAAATGAAATTCAGCCTTTCAAAGTGTCTCTGACTTAAAGAGAGTCGCTGGCATCACACGCATGCAAAATGCTCAGACCTAAATGCTTTTGGATTTCTTTAGAACTTGAAAATCTTGGCTTCCAAAAACAGCTCTGGCAAACAGCTCTGTTTATTATCATCTAAGCATTTTTCAAAGATCTGTTTAAACAGTATTGCTGTGTATTTGAAAGACACATACTGAATTGTGCATACATTCAGTGATCTGAGCGCTGGCATTTGCATTAGTTGCATGCATGTCAGTATTGTATTCTGCTATCGTGCACACTGGTGTATTTCATAATAAAAGAAATGTGTAAGATTTAGGCAATATTTGGAAAGCAATTTGCTCAGCAGACTGAATCATGTGGGGATTTAAAAATAAATTAAAATATATTTTCCTACTTGAAAATTCTGTTCTTTACTTGTTAAAGTGAACCCCAGCAAATCAGACTCTGTTCTCTTTTTAATTGATGTAGTAAATGATTATGTTTTCCTAAAATGTAGTCATCTCCAAATGGCTTTTTTGAGGAATAAGTGTTACAAGAAATGCAAAACAACATCTGGAGGAGATGTGATTTGTCAACTCTGCTCTGGATCACCAACAGCAATGCAGCAGAATGAGGACCACAGCTGTTCTACCAAATGAAATAAAGTTCCAAATATGAGATCAATGGTTCTGCAAGCAAACAAAATTTCATGAGTTCATGCTTAATTTTGGTGAATGCTTGCAAAAGCTGTCTGCTTGAACTACTCTAGGTGTCCCTAAAAATAAATCATTAGGGTTTTTATGGAGGAAATTGATAAGCAAAGTGTAGCTTCAAATATCTCCAAGCAAAGTGTTGTTTTAATCTTTAAAAGAGAGAGGATAATGGGTTCCAGGACGGAGCCATAATGGTTTTATTAGACAGTAAAACTGCAGGATAATGCTAATGCTGCTTTGTGATCTTTAGATACCTGGAAGTAATGTTATCTGAGCACTAAAGGATAAGTACTGTTTCCAAGTGGTGTTCATAAGATGCAATTAAGCAGTTGCTGAAAATGTAAAACAATGCTGCTGTAATATATGAGGGCTGCTCTGAAAGTAATGCCTCCTACTCACATCACAGTGGGTGTGAACTCAGTAAGGTGTCGAGTGGTCCATTTCAGCAGTGACAACAGTGACAGTGGGTCACCTCTGCTGGTGTAGATTTTGATGGGCATGGCATGCAGGCTCTTGTTCATCGCTGGCAAAAATGCAAAGCTTATGATGGTAATTGTGTTGAAAAATAGTGTTTTGTAGCTGAGAATTTGCTGTCAGATAGTGTTATTGTGCTCTTTGTATCTGTTATAATTTCCATGGAAATAAATAGGAAGCATTACTTTTGGAACAAAAGTAATAATATACATATTATTACATATATAATATGTACATATATAATATGTACATATATAATGCCAATATTGCCACTCACAGATGAGACAGATGTGAAAGTGAAATCCTGAATTTTGAGACTTATAGCATAGAGACATTTTGATGTAGTTTGAATTATTATCAACTTTTTTCAGACGATTGAAGATACCAGGCCTTTGGTGTTAGGCTTTGTACTTTCTCCAAGATCTGCTAATATTTGACAGCATCCCCTTGTCCTGTCATACCATACTGTAGAATTGATGCTGAGCGTCAGAAATACATTTCTCCAAATGGCAAGCAGAGCAGCAAGCATTAACATGTTCAGCAAAGTAAAAAGGCATTTGTTGAAATTTGGTCTGCTCAGGTAAAATCAGAGCTTGAAAATAGTGAAGGACAGTGCACTGTATATTTCATATAGAAACTGTGTAAGAATGTCTGCAATAAAAGTAGCGCAATATATCTTAAAAAATATACTGAGGCAACATTAAATTAAAAGTAATTATATGTGGTTTTTTTTGTATTTGTAGTTGTGTCCTCAGTACTGGCCAGAAAACGGAGTACACCGACATGGTCCTATTCAGGTGGAGTTTGTATCAGCTGATTTAGAAGAAGACATCATCAGCCGGATATTCCGAATTTACAATGCAGCCAGAGTAAGGATTTTACTCACAAGACAATTCTGCCTCAGTGATTCAGCTGACTCTATCCCAGTCGCAAAAAAAAAGTTGAACTCACATAAAGCTATTCTCATTATTCAGCCTATTTGTAGAATCATAAAATCATTAAGGTTGAGAAAGACCTCTAAGATCATCCAATCCAACCATGAATCCATCCCCACCATGCCCACTAACCACGTCCCTCAGTGCCACATACACATGATTTGAACACCTCCAGGGATGGTGACTCCACCGCCTCCCCAGGCAGCCTGTGCCACTGCCTCACTGCTCTTTCTGAGAAGAATTTTTTCCTGATATCCAACCTGAAAGAGTTGAGAGCATGAGCGAATAATGGATCACACAGTAATCATTGAGAAAAAAGTCTTGTGTGTGCAATTGAAAAATCTTGTAACGCGTATCTCAAGTGCATTAAATACAAATGAAATAAATGCAGTATAGAGGTTATCTGGTAGTCACAAAATGGTGATATCAGTGCAGTTTTAATTTAAGAGTTTTAAATTAGCCATCTTATATGTTTATTATCCTGCATCATGCAACACTAGGCATGTTTTTCAATACCAGGCCCAGGCTTTTAGTGCAGATCTTATCCCACTAATCACACTTCATAATAGATGTAAGCATTTCAGAGGGACAAGTACGATCTCGTATCCAGCTTTTATGCTACTATAAAGTTGACAGAAGACTAAATTAGGCATCAATTTAAAGCTGAGCGGAAAAAGGATTCAGCCACAGACCAGGCATCTCTTCCCATCCAGATGGAGAGAGCTTTTGCAGTGGGCTGGTACTGTTCTCTGAAGAGCTATATCTAGGAGTAAGAAACACTCTCTGTTAAAAAGTCAGGAGCTGCCATGGAGTCCAGTAGCTGTCAGAACAGTGAGAGGAAGGCCCCAAGAACACTGCCTGGGATGCTCCTATGCAAACAGGGGAGTAGACTGTAAGCTTCAAGGTACTACTTTTGTATGACAAAGTCTTGCATTCCCAGAAAATGTGGCAACATAATACCACAGTCTCCAAGAGTGTTAACGGGAGCTGTAGCAGAAGCTGTGTCTGGCTGATGCCATTTGGGGAGATGGGGCATGCAATTGAAAGAAACCAGGCAGGAAAGTAGTGGAGTCCAAATTTGACATAAAGCAGACAAAAACCCATTGAAGAACATATCTAATGCTTGGTTTATTCCCTTACCTTGTTAATCTTACATCCTCTCTATTACCTCTTACTCTAGAGCAAAACTGGTAACGTCAACATTTCTGCACATTGCTCATTTTCAAAGTGGTACTAAAATGCATTCACTTTGCCAGAAGTGAAAATGGCAAATCCTAAACTACAAAACCAGTTTTCATCTGTGTGTTTATTATGCCCTTTTCAAAGGACTGTAATTTTCTGCCACTAACACTTGTTCTATGCTCCTTTTTTTATTTTAAATCACCATAAAGCAACTGTTCAGTAACATCTCACCAGAGGGGTTCTGACTGCTTCAGTAGCACACAGTAAAGTAAAATTTAGTTTGTTTCTTATAAGCAGGAAAAATCTGAGGGTTTCATTTGGTTTTTAAAACATTTTTCCGCTTCAAAATATCTTGAGAGGTTTTGACCTTTCTTGTAAAAAAGACAGACTGCAAATGTTTCTCAAAATGCTGAAATGCTTACATAATTCTATTGCAACTTCTCTACTATGATATTAATTAATTGTTTGTTTGATCCTGCTACTGTACCATTGCTCTCTTCTAGTCTGTTTGTATACCCTCTATTTAAAACCTCTTGTCCTAATAGCTCGGTTGGAAATTAAAAGTCATAACTCCTTACGGGCAATTGAAATTGCATTAGTAGTTTGTCAGTGGTGATTTGCCCAAACAACTTTCCTCGCTGATGCAAATATCTAAGTTACGCACCATTTGAATAGACCATAAACAATGCTGTTCCTTCTTTTCCTGCTCATTTCCTGAATGCCTGCAGCCCCAGGACGGCTATAGGATGGTGCAGCAGTTCCAGTTCCTGGGATGGCCCATGTACAGGGACACGCCAGTTTCCAAACGCTCATTCTTGAAGCTCATCCGCCAGGTGGAGAAGTGGCAGGAGGAGTACAACGGGGGAGAGGGTCGCACAGTTGTCCATTGCTTGTAAGTACTAGGGACCAGTGAGAAGAATACTGTTATCCTAGTATCTGTGCCACGTTTTTAAAGATTCATGAGAAGGTGAAGAGGTACAGGATCTGAATAAATAATACACCTGCTCATTTAAAAGCTCTGAAGACACAAGAAATCGTATGCTTTTTTTTTATGTAGATTCATGAGTTTCCCACTCTGTCCCTTGGTAGACACCTGTGAAAAGATGATGGGTAAAACTCTATATTATAGAAAGATTTCAAGTGACATTTTCAAATGAAAAAGGTGCATATTTGTTCAAAACTGTCAAAAACAATCAAAACTGTACCTTCAGGACAATGCACTTTTTATTTCTATTCAGTGCCATCTACAGTTCATTAACGGTAGAAATGAATAATACTGTAGGGAATTATTCCTCTTCCAGAAGTCATGGAAGAAAAAATGGCCTGGTAGAACAGTTATGATGGCCCTTTGACTGTCTTGCCCTTCTTTCACAGTGATACATATTTTTGTCCTCTGGTGACTTTGTGTTTCACGGGTACAGGCTCTCATCCACCATCCTGCCTTTTGATGTGGCTTAATACATGTACATACTACTTGTTCTCAGCATTGGTTGGTCTTCTGAGATTAAATATTCATGCCTGAAATTGTATCCTTCTCCTTCTGGAGATCTACTTAAAGATGTTACAATGATGGATAAGGATATGTTCATGTGAAAAGCATATGCTAAGATGCTTTCAGAAGTTGGAACCCAAGAGTAGACAATAACTTCCTGAATTTTGGTTTGCAGTTAATCAATATTACAACGATGGAGGAAAGTACATTAATAATTCCTACTATCAGTGACCTTGAACAAGTCATTGCTCTTCAGTTTCCCCATCTGTAGAATGGGGATAATAATACTTTCATCAAAGAAGCATTGTGCAGTGTGATTAATTAATGTTTTGAGATCTTTAGCTGAAAAGACCCTTTTGAAGTGCAAATTACTGTTATCTCTGAGGTGGCTGATGATATTAAATAGTTGTACAACATCACACATGCGTCACTTCCAGGCAGTAAAGAAAGAAAAAGCTCTAATATAATCCTTTTAAATGACTTTATTTTAATTAAAATTCTCAAAGAGTTCTACAATATCAGGCAATGTTTTAGCAGCAGAGAGCATTCTTTTCATACTGCTGGGATGTGACAGTTGTGAAACATTGTAGTTTCCTTTGAAAATCAACCATTTGCAAAGCTGGTTTGAAAGACCAACTACCTATCTAGGCTACACTCTGGTAATTAGTAAGGTTTATTATTTTTGGTGAATTGCAGCCTAAAGATTCTGATTAGGATAGCTATAGAAATAGTAGGGTTTCCAGCAAGAAAGGGATTCTCCTAAAGATTAACTAGGCATAAAGTATTATTAAAGGCTGTATTTGATCACGCGAATGAGCATTTGTGCCCAGTGTCTTCGTTGGGTTTCTCTTTGGGTTCTTGTTCTCTGATGCTGTGGGTGGAAGAGGAATGCAGTCACTTACAGAAGCAGCTGTTAGAGTGCAGCCAGTCCCTGTGCCTGCTGCTGCAGGGCGGGAACATCAGTCACCAGAATATTGCAGTCCCACCTTGGGCCATGCTAAAAGCACAGCCAAATGGCTTGTAAGCAAATTAGACACCATTTCTGTTGTTCTTCTGAAACACCTTTGGGTACAGGAAGAAGGAGCCAGGATCAGCAATTAAAAAAACCTTAAAAGATCCTCTTTCTCTATAATGTTTCTAGCCTGATATTACATCCTTGTGCGTTTATAGTACAAAAGGGTATTAAATTCAATCTAAAAGTACCTTGTCCTTATTTTAACATTCCCTTCATGCTGCCTCAAAACTTCAGTAAAGAGAGTGGCACAAAACTCAGCCACTCAGTTCCCTTCAGGCTTTCAGCCTCCTGGATGCTGGATGATAGGTTTGAGATCATTCAGCCCATTAATTCCAATTAAAAACAGCACTCAGCTTAGAGTTCAGCTGCCTTCCGGCACATTCGTATTCTTTGGTTTCTCCCTGGTGGAACTCATACCTTCTGTAGCCATTCCTGGCGCTGTAAGAACTTGTAATATAGTCAGTTTGTGACCAAGCCATTTATTTTTTACTTTTCTTACAGGAATGGAGGTGGCCGCAGTGGGACTTTTTGTGCAATCAGTATTGTTTGTGAAATGCTTCAACATCAGAGGGCTGTTGATGTATTCCATGCTGTGAAGACACTGAGAAATAATAAGCCTAACATGGTGGACCTTCTGGTACGAGCTTTTTAACTGCTGCACTAAATAGAAAATGTTCCTTTTTCTCAGAAGATTCAGTCAGATTTCCAAGATTTGCAGTGGGAGTTGTTCACAAAGCAAGCAAGTCATTTTCAAAGGGGATAATGAAGTCACTTCACTTGTAAGAGTATTTTTACACTGCTTTCTTCCCAATGAGACTTTGTCTCTGTTCATTTGAATTTTTTAAGAGTTTTAAACTTTCAGCCGAACATCCTTATTAATTTTCCTTTCTAGCAGGCTGAGCCAAGTGGAGAGCAGCCCTTGCATGGGTTGAAATAATAGTTATGTAAAATGAAATGCCAGATTTTCAAATTATATATATTATAAATAGCTTAATCGCCAAGTATTTATCAAAGCCATGAATTTCAGTTTGACATCCAGAATATTGCATTTAATTATAGTTGCTCTATCTCATAGAAAGATTAAAGAAGTTCAGAAACAAGGGGCCATGTGCAATTATTTTCTTAGAGTATTTTATGGGATTTTTTTGTAATGGCGAATTGCTGAAGTGCCAGCTGCTACTCCACAAGAGCTGCAGAACAGCTTAAAGCAGCAAGTTCTTATGCTCCAGTGTGTAGTTTTGTACTCAGAGAGGGCTGAAGCATGATATCCTATTCTCATACCAGGGCCATAAAGACACTTTTTCCCCAGGTCCCTCGCATTTAAGCTACCTGAGAAAGAATGGGCTGCCCAGAGAAGCTGTGGTGCCTCATCTCTGGAGGTGCTCAAGGCCAGGTTGGATGGGGCTCTGGGCAGCTGAGCTGCTGGGTGGCAGCTCTGCCCACAGCACAGAGTTGGGGCTGAGTGGGCTCTGAGATCCCTTCCAACCCAAGTCATTCTGTGATTCTATAAAAAGTAGCAACCCTTCCCTTAAGCCCTTTTCTAGCCAAGCTCATGGCACAAAGCCAGATGTTGCCAGCTGTGCAAAGCGAAGAGGGAGTTCACAACTAGCACTGCGGGACCACAAGCCAGGAATGTGAAACTGTGAATCTTGTAACAGTAAGAAACTATTAAACTTTCACAGAGGTGGGAGGGAGCAGCTTATTTGGCTCCTCTTTCTCTGGTTTGTATTCTCAGGAGGAGAATCATCATGCTGAGAACCATACATTTTTATTTCCCAGATATTAAGATAAATGTCTACTTCTTCTTTCAGATAGTATAGTTTTGGATAGAGACTTGGCAGGCCCGCTGTTTTTGGTTCTCCCAGAGCTTAAGTCCACAGAACACACTGATCTCTTCTTCATCTATTTTATAGAAATAAAAAGAAAATTACCAGTTTGAAGATGTACGGTTGAAGAAAATGCTCTCTATAAATTCCTGTTTTTGACAGTTCCCAGGTATAGATTTGTCAGGCAGCTGTCTCCATTTTTCAGCACAGAATGTTTTTAATCAAAAGCTGAATGTATTATTTTAGAATATAAAAATAACTCTTAGTAAATTGGGGGAGGTCTGAGAATGTTTGAATGGTATTGAGAAGCCTTTGTAAGGTTTTTTCACTAGGACATTTCAAAGCACTTAGGAAGGAGAGCAGTATTGTTTTTCGTATTTTACCAATGGAGAAACTAAGGTAGGGGACGATCAGGATTTTTTCCATTATCTCTTAATCCACTGACAAAAAAGAATTAGTACAACTTGAATTAGCAAGGTTCAAGAGAATTTTCACATTGATTTTTCCATTGCAAAAAGGGAACGTGGACACTTCCGTTCTTTTCCTGAGCCTGTTACTGATTTCCTCCTTTTTGACCTTTATTATGTGTCTCTGCCTCAGTTTGCCCGTCTGAAAAATGAGAACGGTAATTTCATCTACTTCTGTAAAATGCTGTTGCAAGAGAGGAAATGTTCAAGGTTGAAACAGTATTTGACAAAAACAGCTTCAAGACTGCTTTATATAAACCAGTTACATACCTTATGATCAGAGGAAGGATGGTCTTTGCAGTCCATACATCGAGATTCATCACTTAATTTCAGTGAAACAATTGGTTTTCCTGCAAGTGTAGAAATCTGAATGCCACATCTTTTCAGTGTGGAAAAATATATGAAATTGTTCAGCCAACATAGAAAGGCAATACTTGGTGTTGCAACATGTACATGCTACAGCATGTACAGCATGTACAAACCATTTTCTTAGAAATGTTATTGGACCTACCAGTGGTTATCCTAGAAAGAAAAACCAGTATTCCTCTCTGAAGCCAACTAACATAAATAAGCTTTTCATATTAGTCATCAAATGAATAATAAAAATGTATTAAGGACACACATGAGTGAACACAGTGGGAAATAATAAAAAATGACTCTTTAACACAGGTTTAATAAAAATGATAGTTTTGCTAGTGCACTAAATCAGCGTAAAGTAAGCGTGTAAAAATGGCAGTGGATAAGTGTACATAATGTACATAATATATACAAAAAAAATGCATAGTATTTCTTTCTTTTTTTATCTTTTCACATCCTGAAGAAGACACAAGCAGTTTATGGAGCCCTGCAGGGTCTTAAAGCCTAACATGAGTTTCATTCATGACTTAGACAACACAGAACAAACTTAGGGTTTGTTTTCTTTTAAAGTGACAGCTCCCAGCAAAAGGACTTCTACATTGTCACTGTCTTTTTCTGCCTTTTGATCACAGTGATATTGTTTGGCCTCTTAAATTTTAAGTTGGCCTCACTTTTCAGCTAAGAAGTGACCCAAAATTATGAGTACAGGCCATTAGATTTAAACCTTTATAATGTTTTCTTCGATAAAAAGGAGAATATATCTGGAATGTACTTGTAATCTCTCTACATGCTCGGCTAAATTTTTAATTGATTAAAGTGTGTGATAGGGAGAGGCATCTTGGTGGCAGAAATAGTCATAAAATGGTGATTGTGAATTGTTAGAACACACTTGCATTCAAAGAACCCACACCTATTTCTTTCAGCATTTTTATTTCATTTAAATGCCTGTAGCATCTCTAAATATTCTGAGTAGGAAGAGGGATGTGTGTGAGCACAAAATTGTTAAGTCCCAAAGTATCACATCCCTCAAAGTTGCCCTGTGGGTGAGAGTCAGTCAAAAGCACTGACCTCTTTGTGCCACTTAAGATGTGAAGAGGATAAAGTCATGACTGTTCATCTCATGATGCGAACTGGGATTTCCCTGGATCTGGACCAGCTTCCCAGCCATTGCAAAAGGAAATAGCAATTCTGTGTTTAAAGTGCAGGACTGGTACCTGGAAACTTAGACTGGGTAACAGAAGAGCTGTTGGGACCCTAAAATAGACATCACCAGTAACTGAAAATGAATGTGAATAGGTTCAATTAATTCAGATCTGTCCTGGTCTCCTGTCATACTGTACTGAGGGACCACAGTACTTCAGTGTGGGTTTGAGCCTCTAGAGGAGGAGGAACAATGAGCAGACTTCACAATGACATGTAGTGAGCATCTGAGTATTTTGATGCTCAGATGCTGGTATGTCTCTAAGGACAGAACATCCACCACCTCTGACAGGTTGCCCAGAGAGGTGGTGGATGCCCCATCTCTGGAGACATGCAAGGTCAGGCTTGATGGGGCTCTGAGCAACCTGATCTGTAGGTGTGTCCCTGTTCATTGCAAGGCAGTTGGTCTAGATGGCCCTTAAGGGCCAAATGATTTTATGATTGTTTGAAAATAGGAGTTGGGTCTGTTTTAAGATCAGCGTTTCCATGGACGAACTTCAATAACTGCAATTCTGCCAAAGCGGTGTGTGAGCATTTTGACGGATGACTAAAGGGCTGCAAGTCAATTTACTTATGTGTAGTCAATTTTTCTCATACAAGTGTATTAGAGCAGCTAACTACACGACTAATAGGAGCAGTACTGTAAATTATTGTGTGCGTAGTGTCTATTGTCTGGTTAATGTAAAGATTTTCTTATCCGAATATAAATTTGATTCGCAAACTGGCTCCCATAGACCACAGCTGGTTGTAAATAATTTTAACAGAAGAGAAATATTGATCCCCTTAATTAAGTTCTTTCAATAATTGACTTTGTGGTTGTCTTGATTTTTCAGGATCAATATAAATTCTGCTATGAAGTGGCTTTGGAATACTTGAATTCTGGCTGATGGCATAAACAGCGCAGACACTGTTCCTCCCTCCACCACCACAAACAAAGCAAGTCGTTTCATGATATCTGTGTCAATGAGATGAAGACTTCTCAGTGTTACGCTTCTACTGCTTTGTATAACTGGCTCTTTTTAAGAGCCCAAAGAGATGTTTATAAAACTGCTTGCACTGCCCATTTTCCACTATTAATGCCGCTGCTTGACACCCATATGAGCGTACACCAAACCACATGGCGGTCATTGAACACTGTATTCATATGTAGCCATCGATGTGGTGAAGCAGCATAGTCCTCTGGTAAATAAGAGAGCACAATTATATTCTTATGAAGGAATTTGTACTCTTCGTTATATTTTGTTGCCTGTGATTCTCAGTTATTGTCATGGCCTAGTGTACATTTCTGTTCTGTGGAGGATGCTATCTGGCATTTTGATAATATATGATTTTAGTTATATTTGCATTCTAACACGTGCATAATAAATGAATCATATGTAGCTTATTTGAACTAATGGAAAGACATGTACCAAATCATGTTAACTTTTTTGAGTTGTAATTTCTATCCACTTTGTACCATTTCAGAGAGAGAATCTTGGTAGAAATGCAGTTAGACAAATGCAAAATACAGGATGCTCAGATTAATATATCCAAAGCTTTTTCATTTGTTTATATTGTAAATATTTTTTGATTTCATCAAATTATTTATTCATTAAAATGAATTTTTTTGTGAAGCACAGTGAGTGACAATCATTTTTATTAAGCCCTGGAAATGCTTACTGTATGATAATGTAAACATTTGTTTACCTTGTATGGATTCTCAGCTCAATAAATGATTATACATGATAAAATCTTGTTATTTAATACCTCTTGGCATCTGAGTGCCTTCCAGTAAATCTCTTTTGACTTTAATTCCTCTGAATACTGAGCTACTTTTGATCCAGCCAATAGGAAGAAGGATGTGTCATGCCACTACATAAAAAGAAGAGGTGAGTTGGATGAATTAAGATACACATACACAAATGGAAAACCTGAAAGTTCTGCTGCTCGGTGAAGAAAAGCTGATGTTGGTTTGGCATGCAGTACTCAGCACTCAGTCTTGTCACAGAGGCGTGTGGATGCAGTGCAAGAAGCACAGCAGCAAAGAGGACTGAACCAGCAATGGCTTGCTGCACTGTCCTTTGGGATTCCAGATCTTTCTCTCTCACCCAGCAGTACCAAGGAGACATTGCAGGCAGAGCAACTGCTCAGTACTGAAGCCTTCCAGAGCTGTACGGAAACCCAGAGCAAGGAGGTTGCAGACTGCTCAGTATTTCAGCTCTTAAAAAGATTATTTTAACATGCGAGCCGTCTGGGATGGGGACAGTATCGATATAAGTGTATCAAAGTCAAAATGTTTTGAGAGCCTTTAAATCTAAGAGGTATCCAGCCTGGATAGAATGATACAAAGCTTGTCAAGTGCCAGTTCCAAATCACTGCAAAATTCAGATCTGAAGACATGAGGATTGGCTTCCTCTGCAGCTGGAAAGCATCTATTTTACAAGAAAATTGCTTTAAAATGTAGCTGACAGCTACAGGCCATTGCTGTAAGCTGCAGAGAAGTACTGTAGAACTTAGGAAAAACAACCCCAGCTCCTAGAAGAATGGCTGTGCTTGGGTGAGCCTTGTAGCACTACAGCCCATTGCAGGATACTCTCTGATTCACGTGGAAACCTCAAATATTGTATTCCTCCAAGCAGTTTGACAGACCCGGTATACCAGCCAAGCACAGTTCTCTGTAATTATTAAAGATTACTAAAAAATTTATTTCCAGTATCTAGTCATTGAAATATGCATACATGTGTCTAATATTACCTGATGATTCGAAGAACTTTAAGGCAGCTAAGCATGCTGAAGAAGTGCTGAGACTGAAAGTGACATAGGCAACATGATCCCAAACTTGAGCAAGATTTCTTGAAATGCAGCAAGAATTTTGGCAATCTCCCAAGGACAGAAACTGCCACTATTATTTCAGATGTTGCACTCTTCAAGACTTGCTTTGCCACAGGTAGGTCTTGGGGAATGAGGGGTTAAAGATGACAGAAGAGAGTTCTACAGGTTTTTAATTTCTTTACTGATGATATCACTGATTTTTTTTGTTCTTCTTCTGGCACAGGCATAGTCAAACCAGTCTGAACTTCAGTGCCTTCAAATGGGAGCCAGCTCAGGAAAATAGTAAGTCACTTTGTGTCTTCACCCTCCTACTACAGTTATTAATATGAATTACAAAAATCCAGGTTTAGGTGAAGTACTTTGGCAAGAAGAAAAAAAAAAAAAGAATGGGGAAAAAAAAAAAAAAAAAAAAAAATATGGGGTTTTCAGGAGCCAGGGGTAGAGGAAAAAGTAAGGAATAAGAAAGGAGCAGAAAGAAGAGGTTAACATGCAGGGCAGATATTCAAGAAGTAGCATGGAGCTTCTGAAGGTTACCTGGAGGATATTATTGCAGAGGAAGCAAAAGAAAGAAAACTGCAGTGACAGCCATTTCAGGTGTTCATAAACCAACTTCCCTTTTTAGTGGTACATTATGAAATCACTAGTCCAAACAAAAGTACGAAGAACATCAATCCTAGTTTGTGAGGAACAGAGGAAGGATGTTTTCTTCAATCCCTGGTATATAAGTGGCACATAAATGAATAAACACTTCAAATGGTTGGCCGTATGTATTACCCAATCCATCATCTGTCCAGGACTTGAGGTGGTTGATTTTTGTTAAGTTCTTCTGAAAGAGCAGCAGTGCTGATGGGGAGAGGATATGATATTCAGGTATCTCTATCTTTTTAGCAGCAGTGCTCTTTGCACCTTCCTGGGCTTCTTCATCAGCAAAATGAGTCAATGACTGTCCAAATAGTTTCATAGAGTACTAATGCAAAGCTTAAGGACTGTGTACAGTAAAATTTGAAAACAAAGAAAGAAAATAGGATTCACAGTAAAATATCCCTTACCACACAGCTGTACATGCTCAGCCTCCTATTTTGTTATGTTGACCCACAACATCGAAGGCAGATGTTAGTGGTATGGTAGTACAGGATGGACCTTCCCACCAATACTGTTACATTTTGTTGCCATGTGACAGATGGCAGCAGCAGGGCAATCTGATAGAATGGCATCTGACGTGGAAGTGCAGATGAAGAAAAGATGTGTCATTGAATTCTTTCACGTGGAAAAAAATTGTTCCTATTGACATTCATCAATGCTTGCTGAATGTTTATGGAGACCAAGTAGTGGGTGTAAGCACAGTGAGGAGGTGGGTGTCATCACAGCAGTTGTCACGGTGACTTGAAAGACAAGCCACATTCCTGATGGCTATGCACAGCTGTCACATCATGAAATGAAGAATTTCTCAATCAGCTCATACACATTAAATGGCAGATTAGGAGCATGGAACTGTGTACAGAGCTAAATAACAGAACTTCAATGCATTGGAAACAATGGTCTCAGTGTTGGAATACTGCAACATCTGCAACAGGTAGGTCCCTCAGGTACTTGCACAGGAACAAAAACAACACTGTAAGAAAGTTTGTCAGGACCTATAGAACAAATGTGAGGCTGAAGGTGATGGTTTTCTAGGTCACATCATTTACCAGTGACAAGATGTAGTGTCACCACAATGAGCTGGAGTCAAAATGGCAATCCATGGAATGATGACGTGTGAATTCCCCACTGAAGAAAAAGTTCGAGACACAGCCCTAAGCCAGTAAAGTGATGTGCACTGTATTTTGGGATAGCAAAGGGGTGATTCTTCTGGATTTCCTTGAAACTAGATAAACCATCAACTCTGAATTCTGTGTCACAGCACTGATTAAGCCAAAGGCTCAAACTTTCAGAGGAGAAGACAACCATTCTTTTGTGACACGGTAACACCAGACTCCATGCCAGTTTGAAGACTGTGGAGCACACTGGCAGTCTTGGTTGGACTGTCCTACCACACTCACCATATCATCTGGATCTGGTGCCTTTTGACTTCCATCTGTTTAGGCCAATGAAAGATGGACTGCATGGGCAACATTTTCCTAGTAATAATGTCACTGTAACAGCTGTGAAACTGGGTCACCTCTGCTGGTACAGATTTTTTTGAGTGCTACATGCAGACTCTTGTTCACTGCTGGCAAAAATGCATAAGCAAGTGGTGGTGACTATGTTGAAAAATAATATTCTGTAGTTGAGAGTTCGATCTATCAAATAGTGTTGTTGTGCTTTTTGTATCCTTTGTAGTTTCCATGGAAATAAATAAGAAGCATTACTCTTGGAGTGACCTATATGTTTTATCAACCTCGTCTGGAAAAAACAGTGCAGCTCATGTCTGAATTTTACTGCCAAACACTCAGCTGTATTAAAAGAAAAACAAAATTAGAAATAGCAAAAAACTGTACAGTTCAACTCTGTTGTTTTGATATTCATTAAGGAGACCTATATACATATCTCTATAAAAACCTGAAGGGAGGTTGTAGTGAATTGGAGGTCAGCCTATTCTCTCATGTAACTAGTGATAGGATGAGAGGGAATGGCCTCAAGCTGCACCAAGGGAGTTTCAGGTTGGATGTCAGGAAATACTACTTCTCTGTAAGAGTGGACAGGCACTGGAATGGGCTGTCCAGGGAGGTGGTGGAGTCACCAACCCTGGAGGTGTTCAAGAACCATATAGATGTTGTACTGAGGGACATAGTTTAGTGAAAACTATTGGTGCTATGAGGACAGTTGGACTGGATGATCCTGTAAGTACTTTCCAACCCTGGTGATTCAGTAATTCCATGATTTTGTGATTCTGTGAAGCCAATAACTGTTGTCACATTTGTGACAAGAAATAAAAACCCAACGGACCATGCTAAAAATAATGTGATTTCTGTAGGATCTCCTTTTCTGTTATTTGCTTATTTGTTTTCTCTAGCCTTGACCTTATCTATATAGTGAAATCACATATTCACATGAATTTATTGCCCTGGTCATTCCTATGCTGCCTGTGGGAGAGGTCCAAAGCTGCTCACAGCAGGCAGCTTGCTCCATGCCAAACCAGTGCTGCCTGTTCTCTGCCAACAGTCACTGCTCACCTTCCACATCCTCACCTCTAAGCATCTCTGCAGCTCCTCGGTGCTAGGCCAGGCAGAGCAGGAGGGGTGCTGCACTGCTTGCAAGCTTGTACTGTCCAGCAGAGCATAGCATTTCTATAGCCTTCCTGGAAGATGCTTTGCTCTTGGTTGCCACTGTCCTGGTTCTCACTCCAGGATCACATCTGACACCCATTATGAGCCTCCAGTCCACATCCCTTCCAGTCTTGTCATCGCAGGAAACTACACTTTCTCTGGGTAAAGGTAGAAAGGGAATATGAGGCATGCAGAGATTGGGATTTCTGCATGTTTTTTTCTAAGTCTGTGCATAACACTCTGTGCACAAAAGCACAGAAGAAATGTACTTTGACAATGAGGAGTGTGAGCTGCTTGCTGTAGCTTGTCTAAGGAAAGTACCAGGGGAGATGAATATCTCATGTTCACTGCCAGCCTTTTCAAAGCAACTCTCCTCCTGTTGTGTTTTCAGTAGCAACTGAAGGACTTTTAATTGTATCTCTACAGTCCTGATATTTCCAGTAATTTTTTTGTGTGTGAGAAGTTTTGTTCAAATGCCACAATTAAAGAAGAACTATCATTCATGCTAGACATACACTGCTACTGCTGCTATGCCAGGATACATGCCATCAAAACTCCCTGTCTTACAAAATGCTTACGTTAATATCCTTTTGCCTATTCTCACTTGTGCACAAAAAGCAACTTGATAATTGCACACATTTTCCATTTGAGTGCATCCAGCCTTGCACTAGTCA